AAAATAAAATTTATATTCTATTGTTAGTAGCCGCTGAAACGAAAGTAACTATCTAAAGAGTATGCCTACTTAAAACAACAACAACAACAACAAAAACGAATAAATAAAAAAAAAAATGCAAGAATGTTTAATGAGTTTTATTTTGAACTAATTTTTAACAGAAAACAACAGAGTGAAACGAAAATGAGTTGGAAAGTAAGCACGTAATGCATATACATATATAAGTACTTATATATTTTTGTATAAAACAAAAACATATGCATATATGTATGTATCTAAACAAAAACTAATGAATTTTGCTCTCTTTTGCAGCCAGCCTCTATACAAAAACAAAACAAATTGCAATTTTTCGAAAATTTTTTCAAACTTTAACTAATTGTTGTTTCTTTTCTTTTAGATACTTGGCTCACAACTACGAAGCGTTCTCCATGCACAGCGGTGGCGTAGAGCACACAGCTTGCCTTTTTATATATGCATATATCTCTTTGTATGTGCATAAATGAGTAAATGTGTGTATTGGCCGTTTGAAAAAAGCAAAAGCAAACACATAAGGCAAGCGAAGCAAGCAATTGTTGTTATTAACTAGTTTTGTTGCCTGAGAAAGCCTTTAGCATACTAATGAAATATACATACATAGACTTACTTACTTTACTTATGAATTGTTATAATTAATGCTAATAAATTATTGACTTGAAAGAACAAATTAACCAAATATCCATTTATATTCAAATGAACACCGTGGCAAAATGCAAAAAAAAAAACCTTAAAAATATAATAATAAAAATAAACACACACAAATACAATTGGTACATTATTTATTGCATATTTAATTAATGCTATTAACACATATGTAATGCAATGTTGTCGGCTGTTATTAAAATACCAAGAATATAAAACACGCTTGAGTGCATTTCTTTCACATAAGTGTTGGTGTAGCTATGTATACCTGTATGTACAATATGTATGAATACTTGTTTTATAGTTTTAATTATTCTTAAAACTAGCAGTTATTTGTATTATTTTTTTACAATTAAAAAATAATTCATCAAATGATTTCATATTTTTAAATTAATTTGAAAATATTTTACCAAAAATAATTTAAAATATTTAGTACTTATTAAACCAAAAATTAATTCATATATACATATTATGTAATTATTAAACCAAAAATTAATTCAATATATGCATATTTTTTATTAACTTTTAATTACCAAACGCAAGTAATTCCCCGCCTTTTGTCAATTTCATATCTAAAAATTTAGTTTTTTAATAATATAACATTAATTACAAAATTATCTGAATATATTTTTATTATACACTAG